CCACTTCAGCGGAATCGCGATTGGGGGTCGATTGGCCACCGGGGCGACCTAACAACTATAATAAATTAATAAATTACCAAGTTTTTGCATAAAATACAGTTTTACTTATCAATGAGCCGGGCCAACAGCAGTAATTACTGGCCAGGCTCAGACGAGGGAGTTGCCAAAGACAAATGACTGTAAAAACGTAAAAAAATAAGCCCAGACAGTGGAAAATGTCATAAATTATCATCACGCACGAAGTGATCGTCGGCTACTGATTCTGAGAGTTGCGCTCTGGTGAATTGCATAAGCCAACTTAGAACACTAAAAGCTTAGGAATTTATTTATTTTATATTCTATTTTATTCTTAATGCTTGAGCATTATTAGTATTATTTTATTACTATCAATTGAAACCCTAAGGTAATTTCCTGGCTCATAATATACATAGCTTTAAAATATAAAGGATTATAATATATAAATATAAAGAAACTCGTTAAACTTCCATGATTAATGTTACGCAAGAAAATAGCTTAAGCAGCAACAAGCAGAAGAGGTAAAATATTTAACAGCATTTAAAAGAGCGTGAAAAGTCAACAAGGACAACCGGAAGCCGGGGGGAAATCACATCCACACACACTCACACTCGCACTCGCACACGATAACCCAACCCCGGTTAACCCCGGTAACCCCTCGATATGTGTGCGATTTAAATAAAACTAATGTTTGTGTGAAAATGGATTTTCTGTTTGTCATCGGCTGCCGACTTCCCCTGTGTTTTATATTCAAACAGCGCACCGCAGCCGGGCCAAAGGCTTTCTTCCGTTCGTCGGCACAAGTTCCCTTATATTCAAATTCGGTGGCAGAGGCAAACAGATTTAAATTCGCATACGCTTAGCACGTGAGTCCTTGAGGAGCAGGAGCAGGAGCGGCGACAGCGACACCGCTTTCCGCCGAGTCATGCATCATATCTACAGCTGCGGAAACTCCTGGGTTAGGAGGGCCTCGTCCTCGGGATGGGATTGGGTTCCGGGATTCCGGGGCGAGATGAGCTGGGGGGATGGAACTGAGCCGAAACCGAAACTGAAACCGAGAACGCGCGTGGTTGACACGTGATTCCGGTGCTCGTAAATTTTCAAGAATTTCCCATCTTTTTTTTTTTAGTGCTTCTTGTAGTTTTTAATTTGTGGCTTGTTGAGCACTGTTAACAGTTATTATTTATGCGATGAGCGGAGAGATAGTAAAAGTTATGGGACATTTTTCCAGCGGATATTGGGTGAGCTACCTGAGATAAGGATTGCAAGTATTGAGGAAGTACGAAGCGTTTTGCAACCCCAAAAAGTAACCCAGAAATTTTAGAACAGGGCGGAACGAGCGCAAGATGTCGCTTGGGGATGCTTTTCCACATAAGTGTGTGCAGAAGGTAGAGTGTGAGCGAGTGTCACAGCATCATCCATCATTCTGGACTTGACCTTTTTTGGGCTAAGCTTCCGTTTAACAGCGGACTAAAGGCGAATCTTTAATTTTGTATTTGCTATCTATCACAGTGTGAGATACAGGCGAGGTGCACATGTTACAACAGTCAAATGTCAGCGACTCTCTGAGAAAACTGCCATGCAATGTCTCATTGTGAGCTTTCCGATGATTACATACACACATCTCCTCTCCTCATATAAACATATTTTCCCGGTTGGTTTTCACTTTGGTGTCGTGTTAAAAATGAATTTGTCATCTGTAAACGGTCTGACATGTTTGCCAAAAAATAAATCTCATTCACTCTCCACCTTTTTTGATCATCACATCTCTTAGCTGGCCAAGTCCGTTGGGCAATACATCAATTGTTGCTGTTCGGTGGTTGACTCTGGAGTTAAGCCCAGGTCCAGAAGTCCTTGATTGATTTGCATTGAAAATTGTGATTTTAATTGACATGCGATGAGCTGAGCAATAATTATGTCAATCTGCTCGGCTCGTTGATCGATTGGGTCTGATGCACAGCGCTGTGGATTGACCTTTGCGGCAAACATAGGAAACATTTGGAAATTGTTAGGGAACTCCATTGAAGCTTAATACAAAATATCTTTAATCTACTTTAATTATTCCAGAAACCAAATATTATCGAATTTCAACGTTTTTCTCAGCCATTTGTGGCCTATTCGCTATGAATAATAAACTGTAATTATTGTAAACACAGACCCATTGACAAAGACATGTTCGGATTTGGTAATTACAACTCTTTTCGAGTTATTAATTGAAATTCGTACACCGCTCACATAAATGGAACATAGCGGAGCCGAACGTGCTAGATGTAATATGCCATAAAAATAGCAATAAGTGGGACAATTATGAACCAATAGGGACAGACATAAATGGCGGAGGGAGGCCGAAATAATGGGGAGTGTGAGTTAGACAACATGGTTCCCTGGACTTTATAATAGCCCCAAATCGTTTGGCTTTGGCTTAAACCTGGGGATGACTGAAGGTGGGCAAAAAAAAGGTGGCGGTAGACAGGTGAGCAGTGGGTGGCGATTATTATAAACGCATCGTTCAGATCATTGGCCAAATGGCTTTTCGAACAATTTGTTGCTTCGCTGCTGATTGAATGGCGGCTTGTCCCTTTTTGGTATGTTATGGCGGCAAAAGAGCGTGAAATTGATATGCAATTAAAATAATATTTATACGGCTGAGCGAAAGCACTCATGATTATTACCGGGCGCACACATATAGAATAATTATTGATATCTCTATATATCACGTATAGATTTTTATAGCCGACAGCTGTTAGCGGAATGTGAGCGAAATAATAATTTTCATTTTGATAGCAAGCGAATTTTGAAAAGAATGTTTATGCCTCTCACCTCTCACATTAAAGCCGAGTTCAAGGATTTTTCCGTCATCTCTATTTTCTTTGGTTATTTTTTAAATTCTTTAGACCGGGGCAAAGGGGATAGCAGGCTGAGTGACTGCTGCGGTTAATGGCTTTCGAATGCAAATTCAATTTTATCGCACTCTGTTCACTTTTTAATAAGATTTCCACCCAGCTCCACCGGCACCACCTCTCCGCAGTCCCTTCTGTCGGCGAAAGGTGCACTCTGTTGGAAATGAAAATTAGTTGCAAGAGCCGAGAAAAACAAAAACCAAAAAACAAAGAGAGACTAAGAAAGAAATGGAATGAAAGCCCAGAGACACGCGACTTGCGACCTGCGAGAAATGCTTTTTGGCGCCACAAGCAAACCTGTCTCTTTCTTTTTTCTTATAAAGGTGGTGGTAGTTGTACACTGAACGAAAAACTGTCAAACCAATTGAAATATATCTTATATGTTTTGACTTTTTCACAATAACAATTCCTTTATCTATATCTATTTTTTATATCTTATTTTTCAAAATTTTAAATATTGTTTTGATTCTATTTTATAGGATTTTCCTTTAGAATCTGATTTTTCCAAGTGCACCCATTCTTTGGCTGCTCGAGGGGCACTGCCCACAATCCAACAAATTGCGTTCCGTGTGCGAGAGTGGGTGGGAAAACTGTCAGAATGAATGAGTAGCGCGGTCACACCTACTGCCTGTCAGTCAGGCCCGAGCTTGCCCCTGAGCAGCCCCCAATGGAAATGGCGAAGGCAACGGGCAATGCCAGGCGGTATCGCTTCGAAAACTGTCCAAGGCGTTGCCTTGAATCGGACCTGGTATCGGGAATCGAGCAAAAGAAACATTTAAACGTCGAAATATTCACGGGCAGCCATAATACTCACAGATGTTCAGATAGCTCACTACATTCTATTCAATTAGGTAAATGGTATTTGGCTACGATTAGAAAGTGTCTGCTAGGAGAATTTGGTACTTTAAGCTGTAACTCTGGGGAAAGTCCACTGTGTAAGTGAGATAATTTAAAATGGTTTTAACAATTTAAAGAACTATTCATCGGAGATTAAACAAAAACTATACAAATTAAAAACAGGCACTTTCTGGTCATAAATCAAACGCTTAAAGTCACAGAGAAAATCCCATTGAGCCCAAACCGGACGCAAATGCCACTCCATCGCTTAAAGCCAGTTCCATCTTTAAATGAAATATCCGAAATGGCCAGACAAAGTGCCCCGTCATATTCATGAGCTTCGCTACAGCTGCATATAGAAATGGGAATGTTCGCTGATTATCAAACGAAAATATTTGCTAATCACGCAGCTGCTGCTGCCGCTGCACGAAAAATATCAAATATTGCTTATGAAACTGCATAAACTTGGCAGCAGTTCGATGGGAGGGAAGGGAGGAAAACCGACTGGATCTCACAGCCCAGAAGGAATCGAGCTCGAGCTCGAGGCTAGACGCTATTATTTCCGACAGCATGATTTTATTTGCCTTTGGCCATCATCATCATCGTCGTGATACAACCCCTTGGCTGCCACCCCGTCCCCTCCTAGAATAATAGACTGTTGGGTGAAGTTCCTCGCTTTCTTGACAGTATCCTGCCGGGGATTTCCTCCTTGGTTCTTGCCATCGAAACTTCTCAATTACGAAGTTGGGTTAAAGCGCGGCGGTAGGAAGTACCTCCACTTGACCGCTCGTTACGTGCTCCATGTGTTGACCATGTCCAGCCGGCTGGGAAACTTCCGCTTACCAAACTTTGAGGTTAATTATTTTCCACTCTCGATTCGAGCAAACTGCAAGAAAGAAAGTTTCTTGAGAGATATTATGTTGCTTGAGAGACCCCAAACAACTTTGTCAATGCACCTTACTGCCCAAAAAAGATGTACAAATGTGATGTCTCCATATTCTGAGGCACTCAAGTGTGTTACTTTGTAGGTGAATGGTCTTAAAATATTTACACACCTCAACAACCCCTTGGAGATTTATAGACTGGTTAACGATGGCTTTAAAGCTAGATGAACATATGAAATGTACCAAAATTCGGCTACATTTAAACATTGTTTGGGGAATATATCCTGTGAAAAAGTATAAAATTTATTCTTAACTCTTTAAAGTTTAAACCCAACTAACACACCTTTTTCTCTTCTTATTTCAGGTGATAACTCCATAAGTAAGTACTACCTTCCTGTCAAATATATAAAATATTTCTCACCCATTTCGCAATATTTTCAACCACAAATGAAAACATTATCGCATTGGCCAAAATAATCAAAGCTCCAACATACATTTTGCATTCGCTGTGAGGGATTCTTCAAGGGAAACACATATATAATTTGAGGTTCCAAACCGCAGCAGTCTGATTAAATCTTATTATACCAATTTGGGGCCAGCCTACTCTGGTTTGTGCCGAAACCGCAAAGCGAAAAATGTGATTTTCGATAATTATTGTATAACAATTTCGCTTGAAAATTTGCTTAGCCAAATAATTGGATATATCGTTTCTGGCGAAGAGATCTGTCCGACTTTGTGACGACCATTTTGTGTATCGAGACCATCTAGAGCGGGTTCGTAATCAAGCATAAAAACTGAGAAAAAACTGAACCAATCAAGCGGCGACCATTTTGGAGACGACGGTTCAGCGGAAACGTCGCTTTTTCATGTTCGTGACCAAAGTTTAGGTAGTATATATACATATATTTTTTGTTTTTTTTTATCGGGGAAGGGAAGACAACGCAAACAGCGCTGAAAATAAAGAAAAAATACAAATTTTACCTGAATTAAATTGAGTAACAAAACACGAAAAGTTTTTATATCACCGGGGTGTGTGTGTCTGTATTTGTATATAATTTAAGAAATATATGTAGACCAATCTTGTTCGTGTTTTTTGTTGTTTGCTCAAAAAAGGAGAGAGAGAACCCAAAACACGCTACCAGTTTAAGTTTGGCCAGCACACACACTTAGGCACACTCTCTCTTTGTAAGTCTCTTAGGGCTTTGTGGCGGAGGAAATAATTACATGATTGAGGTACGTACTCCACACACACAGCAATACATAGAACACTTGCATTAATACCCACGATGACAAACACTGGGCACCTTTGCCCTGCCTGCTCCCTTCTCCTTCCGCCCCACATAGTCGGGCATTATTTTTTTGCCTTTCGGTGGTGGTCGTTGTCTGATCGAAAAGAACATGTCAGGTTTCCCGACCTGACCATTGCATGACTTGTTCTCCATTGGTGTGCGAGTGTGTGTTACCAAAGGTATGGCCGTGTGTGTGTGTGTGTGCTTGCCAAGCACCGGCATATGTACGAGTATGAATGAATGACCAAGCCATGGCGGCTTTTTATAGAGAGTGTGGTTCTTGCTTTTTCTTCGTTCACGTTTTTTTCGCTTTCTGCACTTGGAGAAATTTGTATACAAAAAATAAATACTTGATATATACCTCAGGCAGCTACATAGGTTTAATAAAGCATTAAAAACCAACTAAATTTAGGAAGATATATTGGAAACAAATAATCTAGAAATAGTAAAGACAAGAAAGAAAGCTAATTTTGGCCAGCCAAAGTTTGTATACAATTAAAATATATCATAGCTAAGCCAAAAATGCATTAATTTCGATTCGGAAAGCAGTTTTCTGTTAGTTTTTATTAATTTAAAAAAACTGCATACCAAATTTAAAATTTTAAGAAATCAAAATTTTTGGCCATTTTTGCTAATTTTAATGATGTAACCCCTTATCAAATTTCGCAAAAATGGCGAAAAAATCGATTTCTTCCTGGCATATCAAGAAAGATTCCCCTTTTGATGCTGATCAAGAATATATATGGTTTATGGGGTCGGAAATGATTCCTTGACTTAGGAAAATATTATTTTGTATTATAAAATCGAATTTTTTATATTAAAAAACTTCTTAATTTTTTTAAAATTAAAAATATCATAACTCGGCCAAAAGAGCATTAATTTTAAATCGGAAAACTGTTCTGTGCAAGATTTTCTACAGTTAATAAATCTGCATACTTCATTTAAAAATTTTGAAAATTCAATTTTTTATTAAAATCAAAAATTTTAATGATGTAACCCCTTATAAAATTTTGCAAAAATGGCCAAAAAATCGATTTCTTCCTGACATGTCTAGAAAGATTCCCCTGTTGATGCTGATCAAGAATATATATACTTTATAGGGTCGGAAAGGTCTCCATCACTGCAAACTTCTGACTGAAATTATAATACTTTGCAAGGGTATAAAAATGTCTCCCTTATCTACAACTCCTAATCCAGGTTTCATTCATGCCAAGCTTTATCTAATTTGGTTTTATAGGTCCTAAAAAGAAAAGCAAATGATATACAAATATAATAATTTATTCATATATCCTTAATGTTAGTGATTTGTTTCAAGGAATTTTGCTTTAAATCAGTTTTTCCTAAATTCTCAAGATATTAGCTAAATGGTACATAATTCTTTTAAAAATATATCAAATTCAAGGATTTTTTTTATAAATTCCTTAAAATTTTAAATCATTTTGTGGTATTTTTCTTGTAGTGTATGTAATTCACGCCAAGCCGCAACAATGTCGACTGACGACGACTGGCGACGGTCGTCGGCCGTGGCTCAGGGCAATTATTGTATCGCTTGCCCAACCTACCCTGCCCCCCACCCATTACTTACCCCCTTACAACGGTAACCACTTGTATGTGTGCGCGCACGCGTGTGTGTGTGTGTGTGCAAGGAGCAAAGTGGAGGTCAGGGCATTGTCGTGTTGTAATTGGCTGGCTGTGGGTTGGTTTGTCCACAGGACACGGTCAGCACCCACATCGAAACTACACCATGTGTTACTCAGGGGGCTTATGCTTATCAGTGAAATCGGTAACTAAGAACAGCTACTCAAAAATATATGTACAGACTTAATTTTTTATTTTGTTTTTACATTTTTATTATTATATTTTTAATGAGATTTAGTAAGGACACATGAATTTTAATAGGATTTAATTCTCACAAAAATATACTGTATTGTATACTTCTATAATCATCGAGTACTTTTATTGCCCTATATGTCTCCTTTCTATATTCTCCCTTATCTAATGATTTTATCCTTCTTTCAATATAATTTGGGACTTCCTCGATTGTTGTTCTTATCCCAATGCCTGTTCCTATAGACCATTTATGATATGTGTATGGGCTATTACTCTAGCTTGTCAGTCCTAAGGATTTCCCATTAATTTTGCTTGACCTCTAAAGTTCCGCCCCCCAAAAAGAAGTAAAATAAAAAAAAGGCACTCCCCATGCTCGAACTGGGATCTTCCCACTGCCCACTCCCTCGTGGAAGTATCTCCATCTGTGGTGCAGTGGCAGGATTAATTTCTAATTTCGCCTAATGCCCAAGTGTTGCCCAGTTCGATGTTTACATTTCGGGTGTCTCGTCTTCTAATTTACCTTGATAAAACGTTACCATTCCCATTCCCATGCCCGCGCCCTATCCCCGGGCTGTTATTGTCTCTGCCCTCGGAACGCAGACAGAGCCGGACTCGTAGCCGGATTGGGAATCGTGGAGGAGAAGGAGACTGAGACAGAGACAGAGACGGAGTCGGAGACGGGCCCACATGTTTGCATCATTAATCATGACGTTTCAGCTCTGACACATTTGGCCGATCGGCGGCAGCGGCTGCAGCAGAAGCAACGGCCAGCGGATTGTAATGAACACGTTTTCTAAGGCAGACAGCAAAGAAAAACGCAGAGACACAAGCACAGATACAGATACAGATACAATGGCAGAGTCACAGATACAGATACGATTCAGACGGAGACTTAAAGACATGGCCAAGCAGTTGAAAGACGATGAGCGAGAGACAGACGCACGTCAGTGATGGACGTCGACCGCTGCGGATGCGTATGCACTCAGAAAAATATATCCCTAAAATGAAATTCGTCCAATAATCCCAAAGTAAACCAAATAACAGAAAATTTTGACTTTGTATCATCTTTTTGAAGTATATATTCTTTCTTTTTAAAAGAATTATAAATGAAATGGTTTTTCTATAATTTTAAATTTAGAAGCACATTTTTGTTAAGTGTACAGACATAGTAAAGAGAGGACGACAGGCAAGCGGTCAGAGACAATGGGCCATTCGAAGACAAATATTTTCACAATGGCACCAATAGACAAAAGGAACAAAACCAACACGCATCCGAGGCAGAAGGCAACTCATGTAAATATTGGCCAAAACTATTTACGAAACTATTAGCTGCAGTTATGGCCAAGACTAATTGTGACGGTCCGGGGAGGGCGGGACTTTATGAGTTTACGAGGCGGGATAATCCGCAGATAAAGGGACATTAAAAAGGGGAAGAGTTTCGTAAGGATTGCATAATGCCAACATATTCTAATGACACTGAAATTAAGAGACTAGAGATTTTATTAACCGTGAAGAAAGAAGTCTGAGTTCTAGGGGAGAAGTAAATAGCCATCAATACACAAGTCAAGACCAAGCCATTGCATTTTAAGAATATTTCCAATTACAAATTATTTAGATCAAGGAACTCAAATAGTACCTTTAAAAATAAGAATGCAGATAGCAGATTTATCGAATTTTATGGTAGCTTACCTTCATGGTATTTCTCTTCTTAAAAACCTACACACTTTTCACCTTTACCTTTTCAGCCCACAAATTTACTCTAAATTTAAATAAAGCTGTGTCCTTAAAGTGCTTCTATCCCGGCTTTCGGCAAGTTTCTGACTGAAAGGCCATTTGTCCTTGGTATCAGCAGAGCTGCTACTAAACCAAATCTAGGTTGACTTATATACTTCCGTTTCCGGCAGCGAACATACGCTCCAACTCCAGCCCGGAACCCCAACAGCCGGCCCACTTCGAGGGGATTTTTTTATGGCTGACTCTCGGGTACGAGGCAGTGGGAAGCGGAGTGTGTACTTGGCGCAGAAACAGAATTTTATGCAAATATCCTAATCAAATTCACATTTTGAAGTTCAACTGTTTTATCCAAAAGTTTCACCTACCCAAAGAGCCGGGAGCCAAGAGCTGAGAGTCAAAGCCGGCAGCGTCGTCCTCGTTGTCGACGCGTGTGGCAGACGCAGACGCAGGCGAGACTCGGAGCCAGAACGATGCCACCCATTTTTAATTTATTTCCACTTTTCCACTTATAAAAAAAAAGGGAGCA